GCCCCTCTCGCTGCCCGATATATATATATATATATATATATGTGTGTATACATATGTATATATATATATGTTTACATGAATACATACATACATACATACATACATACATACATACATACAAACATACATACATACATACATACATATGCCCTTCGTGGCCCCCGCTCGTTCGCCCCCGTCGTGGCCCCATATGCATGCCCTTCGTGGCCCCGCTGTCGCCCTTCGTGGCACCCTCGCTGCCATTCGTGGCCCCGTTACTGTCATCAGTGGCCCCGTCCTCGCGTTCCGCGGCCCAATATACGCATGCCCTTCGTGGCCCCCGTTCGTTCGCGCCCGTCGTGGGCTCATGTGCATGCCCTTTGCGGGCCCGCTGTCGTCCTTTGAGGCCCCGTCGCTGTTCTACGTGGCCCAGATGCTACCCTCAGTGGCCCCGTCGTTGCCTTCTGTGGCCCCGCACTATCTGCCCTTAGTGGTCCCCGCTCGTTCGCGCCCGTCGTTGCACCATTCCTTCGTGTCCCCGATGTCGCCCTTCGTGGCCTACTTCGCGCCCTTCGTGGCCCTGCTGTCGTTTTCTCTCTCGCGCTCGCTCTCGTTCGTCGTCGTCGTCGTCGTCGGCGTCGTCGAAATCGTCGCCGTCGTCGTGGTCGGTCCTCTGTCCGTCCGTCTTGGGTCGGGTTGCCGACGATCAGCGCTGCCGCTGGCCAGGCCGACGGTCCGCGGCCGCCCCGCCGCTTGCCAGGGCCAAGCCTGCAGGAAAGAAAGGTGTACCCCCCAAAAGGGGTCGAAGAAGACAAAGAAGACGGGTATCGAGGGTAGGGGAAATACGCGTTAACGGGCTCTCGAGCACATAAGCGCAAACAGTCTTCAAAATGATTGTTGTTGTTGTTGGTGTTGTGGTTGTGGTTGTGGTTGTGGTTGTTGTTGTTGTTGTTGTTGTTGTTGTTGTTGTTGTTGTTGTTGTTGTTGTTCTTGTTCTTGTTCTTGTTGTTCTTGTGTTGTTGTTGCTGTCGTCGTCGTCATCGGCGGCGGCGGCGTCTTCAACGTCGTCGTCGTCGTCGGCGGCGGCGGCCTCGCCTGCAAACCGTCGGCGACCCACCTGCGACTCCACCCTCGATCCACCCGCTTTGCTTCGATGAAACATCGGCGCCTGTGGGGGTCTCGCTGTGCAGTGCTGCCAAAAAACGACGCCTGCAGGGGCTGTCTTCCACTCTGTTTTCGAGCCTCGCTGCTCTGCCGACTCCCCCCGTCGCCTCGCTCGTATCCGCAACTGCTGGGGCCAGGCTGTGGCTGGATTCACATGTGGAGAACCGGAGGCCACGCGCTGGATACGCCTGCGTCAGCTGGGCGTACCTGACCATAGAAGGGCGGAGCGCTGGAGCAAAGCCATGCCACATCTGTATGCAGCTGTCGCCCTGGCTGGCCACGTCAGGTGTATCCAGCTTCCTGGCGGTCCAGGCCTCAAGCATCCCAAGTTGGTCGCGTCATTCCGGAGCTTCTGAAGCCCCCAAAGACGCAGACCTGCTCCGGCGTAGCATGCTCAACGCTTGCGTTCTTCCTTTATCTCGGCCTACAGATCACTTTCTGGGCTCTGGCCGGCCCCCACAGGGAACCGAAGGGAGTGAGGGCTCTGGGGGCCATGAACCGAAGGGAGTGAGGGCTCTGGGGGCCTCAGATTGACGAAGCCATGACGTCGGATGTCTGGGTATGCCTGCCTGCTGCCGTGCATCAGCGCGCCGCCTTGTCTGATTACCTGGGCGCCAGCGCCTCGACGCGAAGCTCCGACCTCTGGCCTCCCTGCGCCATTGTGGCCAGGAGCTGCTGCTCTGCGTGCCTCGGCGGCGGCACCGGCGACGCGCCAACTATCCTTGCAGGCGGACCGCGTGTCGCTCCGCGCCGCGGGGCGGGAGGCTCGGAAGGGCCCAGGATGCCGACGCTCGGAGACGGGGAAGCGGTCCACGTGCCGCGCCAGAGTGCAGCGGGCCAGAGCTGGCGGCGCGGCACTCTACAGGGCAATTTTTTATACATGGGATTTTTCAAAAAATATCGGATTTGATATACATGATTAATTTTTGAATGAATTTATGCACGAACTCATCGTTGTTTTTGATACTAAATCCGGGCATTTTTAATACATGATCCGCACGCGGAGAATGTATTAAAAACGGCACTCTAGGCAACAGCTCCTGGGCGCAACTTTGGTCGACCCAAACAGGGGTCCAGCAGAAAAGGGGTGGTGCGCCAAATTTGGGGCAATTGTGCTGCACACGCACTGCGCCGGAGGACTGTATGGCATTGTGCTGCAACAAACATGTATTGCGCGCGACAATCCAGCAGTACACATTCGAATCGGCATGTATGGCACGCCCCGGATCTACTGCAACCCCGCAAATCTATTGAAATCGATTGCACCACATCCATTCCACCAGTCTCTTTGAGCTGGAACCCTTCCAAGACATGCGACGTCCTGTTTTTTTCAGGACGGCGTGCCTGGAAGTCGCGACTCGTTCCCCCGGACCGGGTTTTCGCCCTGAGCCGTTGTTTTAAAAAGACAATCACGAGGCCCGGCGAGGGCCCTCCGGGGCCAAAAACAGCCCAAAACCTCCCGTCCGGATTTTTTTGTCTACGACGCGATCATGTCTGGGTCTTGAGCCAACCAGAGTAGATGCACAGAACTGCCCAGCTCTCGACCCCAACACCCCTGACCTTCCAGAGAGCTATTTTTTAGCACTGGAAACCTAAAAACCTAAAAAACGAGACGAAACAGCCTAAAACCAAGACGTAAAATAGCTCTGGGATAGGTTTTTACGTCGGGTGCTATTTTTTTACCCTCCTGGAAGGTCAGGGACCTGCGACTGCATCTCGCGCCGTGAGGGCCGCTCCTCCGGAGCCCTGCGGCCCGCACAGGGCCTCCCCAGGCCGACCACGGCACCCGCATCCATCGAATCGGGGAGGAACAGATCGGGCGAGAAGGTGCGCCCGACCCGACGACGGCAGCACGTCACTTGGGCGCCCGAGTTATCCGGGGTAACTCGGGTCCGGGGTAAGTCGGGTTTGGATTCCCGAAAAAGGAACCCGAGTTAGCCCTGACCCGAGTTACCCCTGATGATTCGGGGCTCTGGACGCCCGAGTTATCCGGGGTAACTCGGGTCCGGGGTAACTCGGGTTTGGATTCCCGAAAAACGAACCCGAGTTATCCCTGACCCGAGTTACCCCTGATGATTCGGGGCTCTGAGTAACTGGGATCGAACCCGATCGGCCGCGCAAGGATGCACATGAGCGCCATGCACGCGTCTGGCCGCATCAGGTCGTCGCGGCGTCGGAATCGAATCGGGTCGAGACGGCCGAGATCGACATCGAATCGGATCGGTCGGATCGGCATGGAACTCACCTTAGGTCCGGCATGTCCTCCTACAGGCGGACTTTGGACGAGACATTCAGCACAGTCAGAAATACTCCCAAAGAGTCGGCAAATAATCGAAACATCGTCCCCAGACTATGTTTTAACGATTCTTGAACATTCATCCTACAGAAGGACGTGTCCGACGTAAGGCCCACCATACTTATGCAGGGGCCCCGGGACACACGAGTGAATGGACACAAATAACAGGATTCCCCTACGTGTCCTGGGTTCTCGTCTTCCCCCCCCCACTTCCCATGTCTTCCCATGTCTTCCTGGGAGTCGACGATTACTTTTAAGTCGGGCCTGTCCCCTACAGGGGGATTTTCGACGAAAATTAAGAAATACACAGAACAATTATCAAAAAAAAATCCGAAAATAATCTGGGGACTATTTTGTTGCGTAGTTGTTTGCCTGTTTAGGGTATGTTTGAACTATGTTTTATTTTTCGTAGAAGATTCCCCTGCAGGGGGACACGCCCGACATAGGACTACTTGTGTCTGTTTGTGTTCCCCCCTCCCGAACTTCCCGAGGGAGGTGGGGCGAGTGAGCGCGGGTGCGACGAGGCATGGAAGAAAACCAGAACCCCACTAAGCATGCGGGGGAGAGAACCAGAACCCACACTCTGCATGTGGGGCATAAAGGATCACCCCCCCACCCCCCAGGCCTTCCCACGAATTTTGTGGGAGTCGACGACTACCTGTGTCTGTTTGTGCTCCCCCCGCCCGAACTCCACGCCAACGAGCCATCCGGCGCCTTCTCCTCGGGGCGCCAGGGGCCTGGGCCCTCCCCCCTGCCGCGCGAGCCCCAGGAGCTCGCGGCCGATGGCCCGGCCTCACGTCGGGCGGGGCCCCGCGAAGCTGGGCGGCCGCTCGGCGGCGAGGCCGCCCCCGGCAGCAGTGGGCAACAGAAGTGTGTAGGATGGTCAAAGTTCTGTCATGTTTCATTGCATGCGGGTCCTCCCCCTCTTCTCCTCCTCCTCCTCCTCCTCCTCCTCCTCCTCCTCCTCCTCCTCCTCCTCCTCCTCCTCCTCCTCCTCCTCCTCCTCTCGGGCTGTTTAGTCCAATCCGCACTGGCGCCGATTGTCTGTCGCAGCGAATCACGGCAGGAACCACGAGTGCCCTTGCCAGCCCACGCGTCCTTCAGGATGCATGGCCTTCTTGCTTGCTTGCTAGTTAAAGAAAAGCATAGCCAGGGGACGATGTTTGACTATTTTTGCACCTGTTCTGGAGCATGTTTTGACTACTCTTTGACTGCTCCTCCAAGATCTGCCTGTAGGGGGACATGCCCGACCTACGCCCAGCCACCGCGACGGCCACGCCGCTGGAGGGCGCATCGGAGGGTGCTCCCGTCCAGCTTTGGCGGCGAGCGCGGGGGGGAAGCGAGAGGAGGGCGGCCCTCCTCAGAAGGCTCGGAAGGCCCCCGGCCTTCTGCGAGGTGCAAGTTCTCTGAGCCCTCCCCGACGACCCGGGACATCCCTCAGAAGGCGCGAGGGCCGCTGAGAAGCCCCGCCGCTTCTGAGAGGGCCTTCACCTCCTCGCTTCCCCCCCCTCGCTCGCCGCCGCGCCCGGCCACCGCGACGGCCACGCCGCCGGAGCTCGCATCAGAAGGTGCTCCCGTCCAGCTTGCTGGTTCTGGTCGAGAACCACCGCGCCTCGTACCTGAGGGCAGCTGGGCCCTGCGCATGGGGGCGCTACCTCTATGCACCTACACCGATGCTGGCCAGGCCCCTCCCGGGCCCTGGATCGGCGAATGCAGTCAACCGGGATAGCAAGGGTGCGCGGTAAGGATGCAGGGGTCTTGGAAGGCCGTTGTGAAGCCTTTCGAGCGGGGCGCGGGCAACGAAAGTGGCCAAGGATGGACCAAGGAGGCAAAGATGCAAGGGTACCCTCAGGAAGGTTGCCCATCCTTACTATGCGAGTTAAAAATACGACCTCCTGACTTGGGCAGGACGGCATACACAGCGATCCTTGGCCCAGGATCGGCCTGGTCAGGATCGGCATAGGTGTACAGTTGGAGCCCTCCGATTGCGCTCGTCCTCCCCCTCCCCATGTACAGCCGAAAACTGAATCAAGAAATTCAGGCTTCAAGATGCCATCAAGTTTCTTCAAATCAGTCTGGATCAATGTTTTAACTCACGCTGGAAGGACGAACGTGCCTTCAGAAACTGGGCCAATTGTCCGGCAACTTGGTGGAGAAACGCTGGCCCAGCTTTTCAGGAGGTGGATTCTTAATCAGATGCTCGACTATATCCCCGTGTTTACTTGATCTAATCTGGAGGTGGCAAGCCTGAAACATCAACAGGCGAGGGCAGCAAGCGCAGCCCGTGGTTTGCAGGCAGCAGACAGCGTCACGTGCGGGCCATCGGAACATGAAGCCTGCAGGATGCGCTAGCCATGCGCTCTCACGCACATGAGGCCCATGCCTGGCACGGTGTCGAATCCCTCTCTCCCTCTCTCTGTCTCTCCACCTCCTGCATCGGCGCGCGCCGCGGGGGCTGGAACTCAAGCACATGGAGGGATCACGCGTCTCGCGCTTGCAAGGTCCCTCTTTCCGTGCGCCTCAGTGCGAGATCGCCGCGCGCGCCTGCGCGCGCACGATCCCCACCCTGGCGACGATTCTGAGTGTTGGGGTCCGTGGCGGCAGTGCACGTCCGACGGGGCTTCCACATGGCCTCGAGCGGCGTGCGCTATGTGGCTCTCATCGCACTTATGGACCACATCCCAGAAATAACTTCGAGCACCCCAGGAAGTGTCGAAACGGTGTCGACCGAGTATCGCCTCCCAAGGCCCGACACGTGAAAACCCTCCCGCTTCGGTACGTGCTTGGTGCTGGAAATTCTTTCTGGTGGTCAAGGCTACAAAATCAGGGGGACGTAAGACCTGGGTACAGGGGACTCGGAAATCCCCGACGAGGTCATCAAAAAAATGACGAGGCCGAGCCTGCATTTTGACGAGGCCTCCCGCTGCAGACATCCCACGAAGCTCCTCCTCGTCAAAATCCGAGGCGCGGTCGTCCAAAAACGATGGCGAACCCGAGTCCTGGCAAACCCGGGTCTTACGCTCCCCCGACAACAGGTTGGAACATCAGGCTGGAACATCACAGGGCGGGCGTCTCTCGAGCGCCCGGGGAAGCCGGGCGAGGTCGGGCGGCCCGGCCACGGTGCCAGAGGGCCCGCCCGCACCCCGCCTGCGCCGCCCGACCTCCAGGAGAACGCGGCGGCAAGAGGCAAGACTTGGGTCGTGCATGTCCCCCTACAGGCGCGGAGCTTGGACGAACAATTTAGGAATAAATTATCCCAGTGCGACCCTACCTAGGAGTTGGAACCCCTAGGAAAGCAGCATTAGTAGTAACAGTAACGCTAAGCTAAAGCTAAGCTGAAGCTAAGCTAAAGCTAAGCTAAAGCTAAGCTAAAGCTAAGCTAAAGCTAAGCTAAAGCTAAGCTAAAGCTAAGCTAAAGCTAAGCTAAAGCTGAGCCACAGCTAAGCTAAAGCTAAGCTAAAGCTTTGCTAAAGCTAAGCTGCAGCTAAGCTAAAGCTAAGCTAAAGCCGAGCAACAGCTAAGCTAAAGCTAAGCTACAGCTAAGCTAAGTATAAGCTACATCTAAGCTAAGGCTAAGCTAAATCTAAGCTAAAGCTAAGCTAAAGCTAAGCTAAAGCTAAGCTAAAGTTAAGCTAAATCTAAGCTACAGCTAAGCTAAAGCTAAGCTAAAACTGATATAAAGCTAAGCTAAACGCTAAGCGACAAACTAAGCGAAACGCTAAGCTAAAGCTAAGCTACAGCTAAGCTAAAGCTAAGCTAAAGCTAAAGCTAAAGCTAAAGCTCCCAGGGGACTGGGGGGAACCGCGGGGCGGGGACTGGGGGAACCGCCCGGGGCGCTTTCCACTGCCCGGCCCCTTTAAGCTAGAGAGTAAGAACCCTTCTAGGCAGAGCCTAGGTAGGGAAAAACAACATAAATTATCAAACGATGCTAGACAAATCGCCCCCAGACTATATTTTGCCTATTTTTGAATTTTCTCCCTGTAGAAGGACAGGCCCAACTTAAGGCAAGACGACGGATGGCGACGAAGCGCGGCATGTTTCATCCTCGGCCAAGCCCTGCAAGGCTGACCAGGCACGCCCAGCATGGACCACTCCCGCGCCCCTGACCACAAAAAAAGGGAGGGGGGCCTGGCCAATGCCGCCCACCTGAGCGACGAAAAGACTCGGATCTTGAAAGCGCGACGACATGGCGACTTCACGCGGTGGCCTACGAAGGCCGCCAGCGCGGCACGTCGCAGTGGAAACGAGGACACTTACGCGTGACCTGCGTCGCTCACCTGCCGTTGCTCAGCACGCTGCCGCCGCTCCGTCGCTGTTATACCGCCTGGGCTATTTTTGGTCGCGGCCTCCGAGAGCGCGACCTGCGGAGGGGCGCCGCGTGGCAGAGCCTTTGCCGCCGTCCCTGCGGCCGCTTCCTTCGAGGTCCTGGCGCGTGCGCCGCACGCTGCAGCGGCTGCCATGCTGCGGCGGCACGGGCGGCGGAGGCGGAAAGCCGCGGAGGCGGAGCCAGCGGCAACGGCGGCGGCGGCGACTCTTCTGGCGTTCTATTGACCGCCCCTGGGTTGCCCCGTGCAGTTCAGAACACGTCCCCGGCCTCCTCTTGGCTGGCATTGGCTGGTTCTCCGAGCTGCGCTCCTGACCGTTGCCACGAGGGCGCACCGGGCGCCCGAACGAGGGCCTGGGCCAGGTCCAAGAGCCTGTCCCTGCTATCGTCGATCCCCGCCCGGCCGCCCTCTTGCGCGCGAGGACGGGCAGATGAGGCGGCGGAGGCACCAGAGACGCCCCAGGACCGGCTCTTCGCTCCTGGTCGCTGGGTGACGGTCCCGGTGGCCACCATAGCAGGACAAGGGGCCCCCGGGGGCTGAAGCTCGCCCAAAATACGCCCGTCGTGTTTTTAGTTTGTTCCCCATGGTCGCGAGGATGCCGTCGGCGGCGGCCGACGGCCACAGCGGCCGTCGGCGTCGCCGACGCCGACGGCCGCTGGAGCAGGGGCAAAAACGAAAATCAATGACACGCTGCCTGATGGGGGGAGCCCACCAACGTGCTGCCACCGTCGAAGACGCACGAGCCCCGAGGAGGATCCAACCGTGGTGACCAAGGGCTCTCCATGACGAGCAGTGGTATCGACACCTTCTCCTCCACTGCCCCCAACGCTGGCGCGTCATTGATGTACTCGTGCTCCCTGCTGAGTTGGACGGCTCCCATAGAGGGAGATTTTGTGGAGGGGCATGGAGCGCGATCACAAAACTTCACACGGCCTCGGCCTCAACCGCCGTGTGGATCAAAGGGTCGCCAGACCCGGGAGCCCGACGCGAGCGCGGGCCCTGCGACAAGTATAGGGGGCCATATGCGAACCCTACCCCTAGCCCCCACGATTTCCGAGGGGGAGGGTGGGGTTCACATCGTTCGGGAACTCCCGAGCGAAGTGAACCCCACCCTCCCCCTCAGAAATCGTGGGGGGTAGGGGTAGGATTCGCATGTGGCCCCCTAAAGTATGACCATGAAGCAACTGACCTCACGCGGTGGTGAACCGTGGCCTGAAAGAGGGAAGCGAGTGGGCCGCACGCGAAGATCCCCACGAGGCCCAAGCTGCGACACGAGACCGCCTGCGCAAAATAGACGGAACGGGGGGGCGAAACAGGAAGGAGGATACGAGGGGTATTTTGCTCCCATCCTACTCAAGGACCGCATCCCAGAAATAATTTCGAGCACCCAGAAAAGTGTCGAAAGAGTGTCGAAACAGTGTCGGACGAGTGTCTCCCAGGGCCCGACACGTGAAAACCCTAGAGTTTTGGGGTACTTTCTTGGTGCTCGCAATTCTTCCTGGTGATCAAGGCTAAACTAGGTTGGAACATCATAATACAAGGGGAAGGCTGGCACGAGAGGCCTCCGGATCGTCAGGGCGGCCCGCGAGGGTGCACCCCGAGAAGAATCGCGGCGAGAGCGCCGGACCTGACCTTCGGTCGGGCATGTCCCCCTGAGTGAAAAAAATAGTCAAAACGTGAACCCCAGATACTCACAAATGGTATCACAAATCGTCCCCAGATTCTTTTTGTCCACAACTATTTTCGGAGTTTCCCCCTGCAGGCCCGACGTAAGCCGGACCTTCCTGCGCCACGCCCGGGGCCGGATCGATCCGGGAAGGCCCCCGGGGGGGGGGGGGGGTCCGAAGGCGCAGGCGACAAAAAAGAGAAGCCTGGTGTGCACGGATCCGCGGCGCCGGGATCTCGGGTCGGGCGAAAGGGGGGATAGCAAAGGGGGGGGGGTGAGAATCAGCTCACGTAGCTGATTTTCCCGGCGCCTCCCGGCGCCAGGAGGCGGCTATGTATCGAGGAATGGGCCCCTCGGTGGGGCCGAAGCCAGCTGCATGCAGCAAATTTCGTAACCCCCCCTTTCCCAATCCCCCCCTTTCGCCCGACCCGAGGATCTCAGGGGACGCGGGCGCGTCACCGATGGTCCCAGACCCGATCGCATCGCAAGAAAAAAAACATGCAGGACGCGAGGCTGTTTGGCGATTTGCGGCCCCAGGGGGGCCCTCGCCGGGCCTCGGGAGCGTCGAAAAACGACTCCGGACGAAAAGCCGGTCCCGGGGGAAGGGTCGGGGCTTGGGGACGCCGTCCTGGAACAATCAGGACGTCGCATGTCTGGGATCTTTTCCCCTCCCGAGTTACTTGGAGGCGAGGACATGGGCACCAGAACCAAAACAGGGGGGAGCGTCACCTGGGAGAGGATGCTCCTTGATTGTGGTGTTGGTGGTGCTGCTTCGGCCAAATTGGATCCCCAAATCTTGCCGTCATCAGCCAAGACCGGGATCATCTTCGGAGGCACATCGCCGGTAGTGGTGTGGGTGCCAGCCTCAATCAAGGCCTCCGAGAGTCGAGCTGGTAGAGACAGGGGTCACTGCAAACGGGGGTCAGCGAGAGCGCTGGACCCTGCAGGCTCCAGCAAAAGCAGGGTGGTATTGACCTGGGCTGGCGCGCAAGACCCTGCAGGACGCTGGAAGACTTTGCAAGACCCTGCGAAGCCTGCATTGACCCGGTTTTTTTTCCATTGCCTCTGGTGAGTAGAAACCCGACCCGGCTCTTCCGAAAGGAGCCCATCCGGCGCGCCGAATGGGCTACATCGAGCGCGCGGCGTGGGAGGTGCCCACAAACCGACCGAAAAGAAAGATGAAGTCCATCCGGCGCCGAATGGACTCTCGAGATTAGAGCCCATCCCGCGACAAAAGAGTCCATCCGGCGTAAAACAGAGTCCATCCAGCGAACCGATAGAGTCCATACGGCGGCGTTGGACTCCATCCGGCGCCAAGTTAGAATCCATCCAGCGGCATTAGAGCCCATCTGGCGGGCAAAATGACCATCGTGGCATCCGAATCCATTCGGCGGATAGCCCTGTTGTGCGCGCTGCTTGCACATCCCCTCGACCCCTCGACCCCGCGCCCCCATGCCCCCACGACCCCAAATGCCACCCGCGACCTTATCACCCCGCCACCCCGCGACCCTATCCCGCGACCACAAGTCCTCACGACCCCGCGACCCCACCGCCCACCACATCACCGCCATGTCACCCCGCCGCCCCACGAACCCGAGACCTCACGCCACTGCCCCGAGACCCCGCTGCTCCGCAACCCCGCAGCCCCACCGCCCCGCCACGCCACCGCCTCAGCGGATCCTCAGGATCCTTCTCCTTAGGATTATCCTTGGGATCAGGGATCCCTAACGGATCCAAGAGGGGCCCCGCGGATCTTTCGGGATCCTCAGCGGGACCCTGAGGGAACCTTGGGGATCTGTGGCGATGTTTCACTGTTCCCAAAGGACAGCCTCAGGATCCTTTGGGATCTTTAGCGCGCCCCTCAGGAACACCTAAAGCTCTAGGGATCCTCAGCGGATCCTCAGCAGATCCTTAAGGAAGTCTGGGGCCCCTTAGCGGATCCCCCCAAGGATATTTCGGGATTCTGAGCGGCACCTTCGAGAAACCCTAAGGACCCTTGGGGATCCTTCGCGGATTCCTACAGGGAAGCCCTAGGAATCCTTGCGGATCCTGGGCGTATTCCTTAAGAAAACCTTAGGAATCCTTGGCGCGAGGGATGGGGGTTATCCCCAGGGACCCCCTAGGGTTCCTTCGGAATCCTTCGCGAATCCTTAGGGAAATGCGCGAATTCATTCCACGTTTGTTTGGGACCCCCCCACCGAGCACCCACATGACTACATTGCGTACCAATGGCATGCCCAAACAACAACGAGGAAGACAGTCCGTGCGCACTGGGAGCTTTGAAGGAATGCGCGGGAACGCCGAGCGCTAGGTGCGCCCGAGAGGCGCCAGCATAAGGATGCGATTTCTTGAGCGAGGGAATTCCAAACATGAGAACTGCTTATTCTTTTTCCCCCAAACGAAAAACTAAATTCACTTCGGATTTCAAAGAGTCCATTCGGCGAGGCCTTTTCACAGAGCCCATCCGGCGGAATTAGAGCCCATCCAACAGGATAGAGCCCATCCGGCTGGAAGATATCCCACCCGGCTGGCATTAGAGCCCATGCGGCGCGCCGGATGGTTTCTCTTTTCAAAAAATCCATCGGCGAGAAACAGAGCCCATCCGGCAAAGGGAGTCCATCCGGCGAAAAGAGAGTCAGTCCATCCGGCGACGCGACCTACTATTTGCAATGCTTCTACACGTTTAGCTCACGCAGATCAGAGCCCATCCGGCGCTTGCGCGGAGATTCGCCGAATGCAATTCCATTCGGCGCCGAACGGACTCTTTTCGGAAGCGCTGGGGAGGGTGGGGAAACCAAAGGTACCGATACTGCTACTCCCCGGACCTCCCCCGGGGCGCGGTGTGACCAGAATCTCGAGGCGAATCCAGCCGTGGCGACGAGGGCCTCCCAGGAGGCCCCAAAAGGCGAAAAAACAAAGGAAGGGTAGCAGCTTCGGTACATTCCCCAGACAAGCGACGTCCTGATTGTTTCAGGGCGGCATCCCTGGAAGCCCCGACCCTTCCCCTGGGACCGGTTTTTCGTCCGGGGTCGTTTTTTGACGCTCCCGAGGCCCGGCGAGGGCCCCCCAGGGCCGCAAATAGCTAGAAGCACCTTCCGTCCTGATTTTTTCTTCTTTTCTTCAACGACGCGATCCTGTCTGGGTTCTCGCCCTCCGACGAGAGTCGGGAGCGGCCAAGAGGGGGGTGTCCAAGAGGGGGGGGTGCAAATCATGACCGGCGGCATGCGCGCGGCCCAGCGGGGGGGCCAGGGGCGTAATGAAATAAGAAGAGGCGCCGCCATTAGATCTGGGGAGATATCATGGCCCCCGCCATGATATCCCTCCCCCCCCTAGTCATCACCCCGCTCTTTTCCGCCCTCCGACGAGAGAGCTGGGCGGCCCCCGAGGGTGCCACTTGTAGCCCGCCCAGACGGCGACGACGCCGCCCGCGAGCGCCGGCGCCCCCAGGCGGCTGCTGCTGGGGCCCGGCGCCGCAGCGCCGCTGGCAGCGCTGCCGGCCTGCCGGCGCGGGTTTGCGCGGGCTTGTGCCGGCTACCCAGATAGGGACAAGGAAAGGCGACACCAACACCACCAGGGCGAGGAGATGCGAGGAGAAAGGGAGGTCTCCCTGGTGGTGTGGTCCCCCCTCTCGCTCGAGACATCCCCAGCCTCCAGCTCGGGGAGGCATCGTGGACCTCCTCGCTGGAGGTGGCCCCCCTGGTGGTGTTGGTGTCGCTTCTCCACCCTCCGACCCAGAGATCCAACGCATCGAAAAAAACACGACGGAGGTTTTTCGCAAATTTCGGCCCCCTGGGGGTCCTCGCCGGGCCTCGGGACCGTCTTGGAACGACTCAGGATGAAAAAAACCGGTCCTGAGGAATGGGTCGAAACTTCCAGGAACCCCGGATTGAAAAAATCACGACGTCGGATCTCAGGGTACCCAGACAAAATGGCGTCGTACAAAAATTCAGGACGGGATATTTTCCTTTATTTTCGGTCCCAGGGGGCCCGCGCCGGGCCTCGGGAGCGTCAAAGAACGACTCAGAACGAGAAACCGGTCCCGGGGGAAGGGTCGGGACTTTCGGGGGCGCCGTCCCGAAAAAATCAGGACGTCGCATGTCTGGGTATGTTGCTCCAGGCTTACTCCAAATCCCTTAAAACTCGACCCCCCTTTAAAAAAACTGACCCCTAGGTCGCATATGCGACCTAATATTCGGGACCCCCCTCTTCGACGGGGCGATTTGCTAAGCCCGACCCCCTGAGCAGCAATCCAAAGCCATGTTGCTCCAGGCTTACTCAAAATCCATTATTGATCGACCCCCCCTGAAAAACCAAACCCCCCTCCACGACCTAATATTCCGGACCCCCCTCTTCGACGGGGCGCCTTAAGCACCAATCCACAGGAAACGCCTTAATGTAACGAACCCCCCAGTTACAAAAAAGGCGCGGCGCCTGAAAAAACCGGACCCGGGGGACGATTAATAAGGGATTAGGAGTAGGTCGGGCATGTCCTCCTGCAGGGGCATTTTGGACGAACAATAAAAAGGATTACAACAAATGCTCAAAACGAATCGAAAGAAGTAGAAACAAATCGTCCCCAAACATTAGTTTGTCTGTTTTTGAATATTCCTCCTGTGGGGGGACAGGCCCGACTTGACTCCATGCCCACAGCCCTGCTCAGAGGTAAGAGCATCTTCCGCGGAGAGGATGAGCTTCGCTCCGAGCGTGCTCTGCAACACGGACCTAGGCCCAAGCAGTACGAAGACTCTACGGCAACGAGGGGCTTCAACAGAACGACTAGGGCCGACCTCTGGATTCCATGGAGATTGCTGTTTAGCTTAAGAGTTCAGATGGGAATGCGGCAAGCTCTTGCGGCGTCGGCGCGCGCAGAGATCTTCAACACCGCGACGGCCGTTGAACTCCGTATCGATGCTCGCGGCCCCGATCGTTCAAGGTTGAATTCTGTCGGGTCCAATGGCATCACCGCGTCCCTCGGTGCTTCCGCGTCGCATAATTTTCGGGGGTGGACAGACCCCCCTTTAGTAAAACGTGGTTTAGTGAAAATGACCTGAGGCCCTAACCTGGCGGGCGCAAGCCTGGAAAATAGCGGCCACGGCGCCCTCTCGATAACCGAAAACGGACAATTCACTAATCGACGTGTCACTGTTGGGGTTTCTGTCCACCCCCGAAATTAAACCTTGAACGCCGTCGCCGGCGTCGCTCGTGCGCGCCATCGCCGCACGAACCTACCGCACGAGCGCATCCCTGCACAAGGGATCACGAGCACAAGCGATCCGCGTGGCTGCCCTGCCGAAGCACCGCACGGCCTCCTCTGGACGACCCCTCCGCCCACCACTGCGATGCCTGCCCATGGGGCCCTAAATCCTTCCTGACCTTCCGAGCTATAGAAGTAGGCTTGCTATAGAAGTAGGCTTGCACATCGCAGGGCGGGGACACCGGATCTCCGACGGCATGCTCTGGAATGGGGCCGAAGAGAGATCCCTGAGTGCCCAGCGTCGCAGTTTCTGGGGGTCGGGCGTCTCCGCATGGTCTCCTGGGTGTTAGGTGTAGGGTCCTCCGTCGTTTCCCAGGCATATCAAAACGAGTGCAGCATGAGCCAACACAAGTGCTCATATCGGGTCTAGGACTGAGTATGCCCAGCTCTTCGGGCACCCCGGGCCCAGTTCGCCACCAGCGTCTCGGCGTGTGCTTGGCCATCCTCTCCAGGACCTGCCACAACCCACCACACGGGGCAGGCCGACGCTGACACGAACGACTTCTTGGCCTTCAAAGAAGGGAGGAAACAACTTCCTCACGGACTGAGCTGGCTCGAAATGAGCAGCAGACGGAGGAGGAGGAGGAGGAGGAGGAGGAGGAGGAGGAGGAGGAGGAGGAGGAGGCGGAGGCGGAGGCGGAGGCGGAGGAGGAGGAGGGCGGAGGAGGAGGGCGGAGGAGGAGGAGGAGGACGGAGGAGGAGGATGAGGAGGAGGAGGAGGAGGAGGAGGATGACGGAGGAGGAGAGGAGGAGGAGGAGGAGGAGGAGGAGGAGGAGGAGGAGGAGGAGGAGGAGGAGGACGGGGCTCGGGTCGTGACTGCTGGCGGTGCCGCAACGCGTCGCGCCGTCGGAGCGCATGGGTGCCGACGCCGCCGCGCATCTCTCGCCGCGGCACGGCCGCGTTCGCTTCCGGATCCTGGCCAGACCGCGCCCCGGGGGAGGTCCGCGGAGCAGTGGTATCAGTGTATGTATATATGTATATACAAATTATAGATACACATGCATGCATGCCTACCTACCTACCTACCTACCTACCGATCTACCTACACACATACATGCATACATGCATGCATGCATACATACATACACACATACATACAAGCTACCTACAAACATATATATATATATATACGCACACATACATACATACATACATACATACATACAGACAGACAGACAGACAGACAGACATACAGACAGACAGACAGACAGACAGACAGACAGACAGACAGACATACAGACATACACACACATACATACATACATGCATGAATGTATGCATGCATGCACATATGCATAGGCACATACATACACACATACACACATACACACATACATGCATACATACATACATACAAACAAACACATGCATACATACATGCAAGCAAACAAGCACACGCACAAACAAGCACACAAACACACAAACAAACACATAAACAAACAACCAAACACACAAACAAACACACTCATGCATACATACACACATACATACAAGGAAACATGCACACATACATATATCTATATATGTATATATATATATATACATACATATATATATAAATATATATATGTTCCATGCCCGTCTCCAATCCCAATGCTTCCCATCGATCTCTGCCTCTTGAGGCAATTTCCGGGCCCTGGGCCCATCGAACATGGATCCAGGGCGGAGAACTGCCCACGTAGGCAAGGGGTCGGAACCTCTGAGGCCGCGCAGGGAAAACAGAAAATAGCGTCCGATGTCCGGGAGAGCGGAGCGAGGTGCCCTCCCTTGGGATCTGGGCGTCGCAGCCTCGTTGCACCGGGCGCTCTCGCCAGGCCTCGGGCCCGTTGGGGCCCTCGCGGAAGGGTCTTGCATGAGAGACGATCCAGGGAGGTGAGGCCCAGGGTCAGGTCGGGCATGTCCTCCCACAGGGGGGGGGGGCTCGAAGAGAAGTCAGAACTGGCCAGGAAGAGAGAAAATAGTCGTAAGAGCACGAGAGATCGTCCCCAGACTATTTTTTTACCAGTCTCGAAGATTCCTCCTGCGATCTCGCCCTGTGCCCCAGCCGCGCCCGCCCCGCTTCTTGGACTCTTCCTTGGCGCCGCCAACCAAAATGAAGGGGCCCCAGGACACACAAATAAATACACACAAATAAAATAATTCCCCATATTTTTCTATATTTTCTGGGTTTTTGTCTTCCAACCCACTTCCCATATTTTCCCATATTTTCCTGGGAATCGACGATTAATTGTGTCTGTGTGCTTTTTCCTCTCCTGACAAAAATATTCCTCCTGCAGAGGGACATGCCCGACCTAAGCCCAGGGCTGCTGCACGCGGCATCACCAGCTTAGCGCGCGTCGCCCCGGCGGCCCCCCGGCAGCACGCCATATGCCTCGCAGGGCGGGTGGCGTGCCGCTCCGCTCGAGCGGGGCGGGCGGCCGGGAGCGGCCTGCAGGGGCGCGAACGCTGTGGCCATTGGGAGGTGCTTGTCAGGGGGGCGTAAGACCCAGACCCCCTCGAGTAATGAAAAAGTCACGACGGGAGGTTTTTCCTACTTTTCGGCCTCTGGGGGCCCTCACCGGGCCTCGGGAGCGTCAAAAAACGACTCAGGATGCAAAGCCGGTCATGGGGAAAGGGTCGGGACCTCTGGGGGTCGACGTAACGAACAAAAACATTACGTCGGGGGTCTGGGTACAGGGGACTCGGAAATCCCCGACGAGGTCGTCAAAAAAATGGCGAGGCCGAGCCTGCATCTCGACGAGGCCTCCCGCTGCAGACGTCCCACGGAGCTCCTCCTCGTCAGAATCCGAGGCGCGGTCGTCAAAAGACGATGGCGGACCCGAGTCCTGGCAAACCCGGGTCTTACGCTCCCCCGAAAGTGGTGGGCCAGAACCAGCGGGGCGACACGCCGAGCTCAAGCCTCCGACCGTGCTGAAATCAATCTCCCGCACTGTAGCATCTGTTCGCGGAGTATCGGATCGCAGGGCTCGGGGAGGCCTTCGAGGCAGGCTCGGAAGGGGCGTTAGACACGGCCCGAAGGGCCTGGGGCGAACTCTCCGCGACGGGGCAGTCCTCCTGAGACGCTTTGTTGACGGTCCTGGGTCGAGGTAAAGGGCCCCCCGGGAGCCGAATACGCTCGGGAACTTTTGCTCAGCGTGTCGCGACGGCGGCCCCGGCGGCACGCCATTGTGCCTCGCAGGCGGACAGCACGTCGCCCTGCCCCGCGAGGCGTGAGGCCGGGAAAGGGTCGGGACGCTGGCGCTTGGGAGTGGGGACGTGGACAGCGTGTCGCGCCGAGGCGCGTTGGGCCAGAACCGGCGGAGCGACACGCTAAGCCAAAGTTCCCGACCGTACTCCCCCACCCCCGAGGGGGCCCAGGGACACATGAAGAAGCAGACGCAAATCCTCTAGAATTCCCCACCTCTTGTCAGATTGTCTGGCTGTTCGTCTCCCTCTCCGCTTCCAATATGTTCCTGGGCATCGGGGATCATTACTTGTGTCTCTGTGTATCTCGCCCTCCTGAAAGCAGAAGCCGCCTAGATGGGGTCCGAATAGATGGGGTCGGAGGATCGCGTCGCATCGCCGATGCATCGGCGATGCTTCGGCGCCGCCGGCGCGCAGAACACCGGGCTCCACACCGTGCCGCATCGCCGATGCATCGGCGATGCAGCGCGATCCCCCGACCCCGTCTGCTCTGACCCCGTCCGGGAGGCCCCGAGAGCCGTGCCTCGTTGCCTTCGCGCCGCGAGGCCGCGGCGGAGGTGAGGGCATGGGGAGAGAAGCAGGGCGGCGGCGGTCCACACGGCGGACGGAAGCCCGGGGCCGGCGGGAGGAAGCAGGCGGCCGGGGTAGGCGGGGGCCCAGGGGTGGGTTGCAGGAGGGGGCGGAGGAGGGAGGCAGAACGAGGGAGGGGGGGGGGGAGGAGGAGGAGGAGGAGGAGGAGGAGGAGGGAGGAGGAGGAGGAGGAGGAGGGGGAGGGGGAGGGGGTGGGGGAGGAGGAGGAGGAGGAGGAGGAGGAGGAGGAGGAGGAGGAGGGGAGGAGGAGAGAGGAGGAAAAGGAGGAGGAGGAGGAGGAGGAGGAGGAGGAGGGGGATGGGGGAGGGGAGGGGAAGGAGGAGGAGGAGGAGGAGGAGGAGGAGGAGGAGGAGGAGGAGGAGGAGGAGGAGGAGGAGGAGGAGGAGAAGGAGCAGGAGGAGGAGGAGGGAAGGAGCGATGGAGGGAGGGAGGGAGGGAGACGGGGGGAGGAGGGAGGAGGGGGAGAGAGGAGGACGGAGGAGGAAGAGGAGGAGGACGAGGAGGAGGAGGAGGAGGAGGAAAACGACAAGAAACGACGAAGGCACACGAGGACGACCGACGAACGACGAGGGGGGCCGGGAGGCCTGCCGCCTCGCCCGCTGCGCGGTGGAGGCGCGCGCGGCCGGCGTGCTCCCGGGCAGCGCCGCCACGTTGGCCAGCTTGACATCCTTCACCTGCTGCTCCGATGGGGCGCACAATCCTCCTCCTCCTCCTCCTCCTCCTCATCCTCCGCCCTACACCCTCCTCACTCCTTCTCCTTCTCCTCCTCCTCCTCCTCACCTTCTGTTCCGATGGGACGCACAAGGACACACTACAACCCTCGTCAAAATTAACCTCAACAATGCCTTACGTGGCTGAACTGTCTGCTGGGAGATACTGGTCAGAGTTGCGGAGGCTGCGAGGTGCTTGTATACGCCGCCCCTTCGATGTCAGTCATCATCGAACTTCCGAGTCGTTCCCGGTCAGACCACTTTTGCCCTGGCCCCGACATTTCAGGGGCGTCTGTCGACATTGAAGGGAGCGCCGACATCGCAGGGGCGTGGTCGCCATCTTTGAGTTTAATTTTGACGAGGGTAGTTGTACAACGGGTCGCTCATTTCTAATCGTGCTCATTTCTGATTGCTCGTTTCTGATTGTTCATGGCCCCCAGTGGCCAGGAAGAGGCCCAGGATAGAACAATCAGAAATGACAGGATCTTGGCCCCCCAAAAACATCCAAGAACTTTCGAAGACTTAGAAATGACAAATGTATGTAATTGGGCGCCCGAGCTATCTGGGGTAACTCGGGCCCGGGGTAGCTCGGGTTCGGATTCCCGAGAAACGAACCCGAGTTAGCCCTGACCCGAGTTACCCCTGATGATTTGGGGCTCTGGACGCCCGGATTATACAGGATAACTCGGGCCCTGGGTAACTCGGGTTCGGATTCCCGAAAAACGAACCCGAGTGAGCCCTGACCCGAGTTACCCCTGATGATTCGGGGCTCTGACTATATGTCCTCCTTGGAGGCTTGCGTCCGACCCAAACATATAGTATACCCATATTGTCGCATATCGTTTCCCGAGCGGTGTGGCCAGAAGCCGCCCGCCACAGCGCATACATCATAAGATCTCTCGGTGCGCGCGTCGCCCCTAGGGGGGGGCGACGCACACATCGTATTAGTATGTTGGGGTGGCGCCGATGTGAGGCTCAACGTTGGGGAGGGGGACCAGGCTCAGGGGTGGGGGCGGAGCTGCAAGGTTCGAGGACGTTCCCATTGACTCTCGGCCGCTTTCCAGCCTCGGGGTGCCTTCCAGAGGCTGCGGCTCGACAAGAGCGTCTTGGGGGTGCCTGGGTCGTCCCGAACGGCCGCCATATACCGGAACTGCGATCCGACGACCAAGCGACGAGGACAACTTGGGCGGGGCCAGACTCGGAGGGAGAGCGTCGAGCCACAATCGGCGATACATCGCCGATAGATCGGCGACCGGCCCCAGACAGCGAATCCGCACGCTCCTGGGCGTGGTGGGCTGTCGGGCCCCTGTCGGCGATGAAGGGACGATTGGGGTCGACGCCGCCACCCCCTGAGCAGATTCCCCCCGAACGTTGACCCTGAATCCCTGACGGCTGCTGGCCCGCAGGCCCCGCCGCCTCCTCTGCTCGTCGTCGCGCGCAAGAAGGGCGGCGGGGCAGGGATCGGTGACGGGCTCCTGGGGTTGCTCGGTCTTGATTTGGGGGTAAAGGCGGCCGACCCAGACCCCCGACGTAATGATTTTTTCATTACGTCGACCCCCAGAGGTCCCGACCCTTTCCCCATGACCGGCTTTGCATCCTGAGTCGTTTTTTTGAGGCTCCCGAGGCCCGGTGAGGGCCCCCGGAGGCCGAAAATTAGGAAAAACCTCCCGTCATGATTTTTTCATTACTCGAGGGGGTCTGGGGAGGTGGCGGTGGCGGGGGTTGGGGATCGAGGGCAGTCTTTTGGAAGCCCTTTTCGCCTCGCCGCCCCGCCGCCTCCTCTGCTCGTCGCGTGCAGAGGGCGGCGGGGGCGGGATCGGGGGGCGGGCTCTTGTGAAGGGGAACTGGGACACACAAATAAATACACACAAATAAAAGGATCCACCATATTTTCCCATATTTTCTGGGTTTTTGTATTCCCCCCCATTTCCCATATTTTCCCATATTTTCTGGGAAATCGAGGATTAATTGTGTCTGTGTGTTTCTTTCCCTCCTGATCTTGGAGGTGCTCATGCCCTCGCTCGGGCCTCCGAGGGGCGCCCTCGCGGAAGCGGCTGGGCGCAGCTCGAGCAGTCAGGCCAGCACCGGCCAGGAGAAAGCCAGGGACCCGCTCCGAGCGGATCGGGGCAACCCGGGGGCCATCCCAACAACGCCAACGCCGCCGTCGTCCTCGTCTTCGCCGTCGCTGCCGCCGCCTCCGTCGTCGTCGTCGGCGTCGTTGGGCGGGGGAGGGGGGGGGGGAGAAACCAGGGGAGGGAAGAGGAGGAAGGCACAGCGCGCGAAAGAGTTCCAGCCGAATCAGGGGATGAGAGCACATGCTGCCTTGCTTGGCCCCCTTTGCAGCCTGTGGCCCCTCCTCGCGGTCCCCCCAGGTGGAGCAGGGGGGAGGAAGAGGAGAAGGAGAAGGGGAAGGAGAAGGGAAGGAGGAAGAGGGGGAGGAGGAGAAGGAGACGAAGGGGAAGAAGGACTGATGATGAGGACGGAGAAAGGAAAAAGGAGAGGAGGGGCAGGTGCCTTCTGTTCTCCTGCTGCAGCTCCTTCCTTCTCCTCCTCCTCCCCCTCCTCCTCCTCCTCCTCCTCCTCCTCCTCCTCCTCCTCCTCCTCCTCCTCCCGCCGCCCCCTCCCTTCTGCTCCTCCTCCTCCTCTTCCTCCTGCCGTCTGCTCTATCCTCTTCTTCGTATTATTATTATGATCCCTCTTATTCTTATTCCTCCTCCTCGTCATCATCATCATCATCATCATCATCATCATCATCATCATCATCATCATCATCATCATCATCATCATCATCATCATCATCATCGTCGTCATCATCATCATCATCATCATCATCATCATCATCATCAGCAGCAGCAGCAGCAGCAGCAACCACCTTCTTCGTCTTCGTCTCCTCCTCCTCCTTCTCCTCCTTCTCCTCCTCTTTCTCCTCCTCCTCCTTCTCCTCATCCTCCTCTTTCCTATTCTCTGCTCACTCCTCATCCCCCTCCCCCTCGAGTCCTCCCTCCCTCCCTCCCTCCCCATCCCTCGCCTGCCCCGCGTCGAGCCGCACGCGCACGCGGCCGCCGGCGATGTCCCACTGCTGGACCGTGCCCGTCGCGCCGTTGAGTTGGGGCGCGGACTGGCCGGCGAGGAGCGAGCGGCAACGATGGCGAGGACAACTTTACACAGCGATCACAGCGACGATAACATTGACGCCAATGGTTGACGATGGCGATAGCGACGACGGTGCTGACGACGCCGACACCGACGACGGCTACGATAGCGACGACAACACCTACGACGGCTACGATAGCGACGACTACAACGGTAGCGACGACAACGAAATCGACATCGACTGCGACGGCGGCGGCGGCGGCGACGACGACGACGACGACTGTAACGATGACGACGACGATAACGATGACGACGACGGTAACGATGACGACGACAACGACGACGACGACCCAGGAGCCCCGAAGTCATCTTCACGACGTCGACCCCCACAACTCTCAAGCCCACCCCCGTGGCGGGCTTGTCTTATCGGATGGTGCATCGATGGGTCCGAGGCTGGGAAACTGCCAACCAGGGTCCGAGATCGCGGAAGAGCACTCGGCGGCAAGCGAGGGGGGGGGGGAAAGGCAACGGAGAAGGCCTTCTCAGAATGCGGCGGGACTTCTCAGAAGCCCTCGCGCCCTCTGGGAGGCTCCCTCCGTCTTGGGGAAGGGCTTGGAGAACATCTCAGAAGGCCGGGGGGCTTCCGAGCCTTCTGAGAAGGCCCGCCCCTTCTCGCTTCCCCCCCAGGGCGCGCCGCCGACGAACGCAAGCCGTATGCTTCTCGCGGTGGCCTCGGCCCGGCGGCGCCGCCTGGGAAGACGCGCGCCGTCTCAGCTCAGGTCTGCCGCACCCGTTCCTCCGCGGCCCTCCTTGACGGGAGGGCGGCCCAGAGGATGCTCGCTCGGGAGTCGGTGCCAGCTGGCCAGGCCGTTTGCATTTGGGCAAACTTTCGGCTACGTGACGTCCACTGGTGCACATGGTGTCCATCGGCGGCACGAGCTGCCGTGACATCTGCACTCGCGGGGTTTTCGAATGGACCCGAAATTCTGGGCCCAACCCTGGTGTATACGCTGGGGGGGGCGTCTTTCCTCGATAGGGGTGCGTCCGATTAGCCTCCCTGGGGTGTATCCCAGAGTTTCCCTCCATTTCTGAGCGGCTCCATTTGTCGTGGAGATGTCGGGGGCTGGGGGCGAAAAATCGCCTGCGATGCACGGCGTAGGGCCGTGCCTCTTTTCACATACTCGAAAAGGGGATCGACTACAGAATTGATTTGCCCCAGAAATCAACTTGCTCATCGAATCTGCAAAACAAGTACGTCGAATGTTCGTGGATCTACAAACGTCCTACGTATGTATGATTCGTGGATCCTGCGGCACTGTGAATTCTAGGGTGAATCAATTATGTAGCCGATCTCCTACTCGACATGAGCAGGCGCAGCTCGACGACAACGAATGACGGAGGCGCCGACGACGACAATGACGGAAGACAGCGGCGACGACGACGGATGACGGCGCCGAAGACAAAGAAGAAGGCGACGACGACGACGACGACGACGGCGGCAACAGCAATGGACACGGCGACGGATGACGACGACGGATGACGGCGACGACGGCGGCGGGGGCCACGGACGATGGGCAACGACGACGGCGGCGGCGGCGACGCAGACGGCGGGCAACGGGCAACCCAGGCATCCGGCTGCTCCAATTTTTTGGGGGCATGGACCCAGGAAGTCCGGACCACTTCCCCAGGACCGGTTTTTCGTCCTGGGTCGAGTTTTGACGCTCCCGAGGCCCGGCGAGGGCCCCCAGAGGCCGAAAACTGCCAAAAACCGCCTGCCCAACATTTTTTGGGGACCGTCGGATCCCAAGGAACCCAGGACAACGACGGCGACAACTGGCCGGTGGCGGCGACGAGGGCTACACGTCCGCCTGGATGCCGCCGAGCTGCACGCGCGCCCCGGGCCGCAGGGACGCGACGCGGTCGCCGTGCGTCTGCAGGAACGAATCCCTGACCTGCTGCTGACTCGGCTGCCCCGTCGGCACCTGGCCGTCGCCCTCGCCGTCGCCGCCGTCGCCGTCGTCGTCGCCGTCGTCGTCGCCGCCGTCGTCGTCGCCGTCGTCGTCGCTGTCGTCGTCGCTGTCGTCGTGATCCACGTCGTCGGCGACGTCGTCGTCATCGTCGCCACCGTCGTCGACGTCAACGCCGTCGAGCTCGTGGTTGAGGTCAGCGCCGTCGGCGTCGTGGCCCTCGCTGGGAGGGGAGCGCACGAGGCGGAGCAGGACGGTCACGCGCCTCGCCACCCCTGGACCTGTCCCGAGAGAGAGAGAGAGAGAGAGAGAGCCCCCGCGGCCCACGGCTGGGCGCAGCTCGCAGGACTGGCCGCGGGACGTGGACGCCCGAAGTATCCGGGGTGCTTCTGGCCCGGGGTACCTGCGGGAGGACGATGAATAAAAAAATGGGGGGAACGATTACAAACGTGTTTTTCTGCGATTTCTGCACAATTTTCGGACTGGAGGAGAACGATGAAAAGAAATAGTTTTCCAGCCCGCGGCCAATTTTTTCTAATCGTCATCCCGGGCGCCGCCGCGTGAACACGACCCCCGGTCATTTATTAATCGTCATCCTCCATTACCTGCAGCTCGGGCCGCCCACGCACGAACCAGCACACACCGGCTGGATGAAGCAGGCAACAACACGAAGTAGGGAAGCGCAGAAAGCAGGTTGAGCTCGGGCCTTCCCGAAGAACGACAAGCAACAGCCGAATCAGATCGATCCTGGAAGAAGGAAGGCGCTTGAAGAAGATGGCGTTTGGGGAGACCAAAAATTCCCTACTTTCAACGACCGATGAGTAGTTACACCTGACCGCGCCTCCGGCACCGATGCCTCGGAATGGGTTGGACGCCAGCGTTATCTGGGAGAAGTCGCTCCGGGGCAACTCCGGACTGGGGCTCCGCGAAGCCCCAGACATCCGGCTGCTCCAATTTTTGGGGGGCGTGGACCCAGGAGGTCCGGACCACTTCCCCGGGACCGGTTTTTCGTCCTGGGTCGCGTTTTGGCGCTCCCGAGGCCCGGCGAGGGCCCCTGGAGGCCGAAAACCGTCCAAAACCGCCCGCTACACTTTTTGGGGGGCGATCCCCTGGAGGCCGAAAACCGCCAAAAACCGCCCGCTACAATTTTGGGGGGCGATCGGGTCTCAGGGGCACGAGCCAGCAGCTACCCCTGGCCACCCCCGGCCCTGACGCACGCGGGGCTCCGAAGGAATGGCATCCAGGGAGGGGCCCCGGAGAGGCGCCAGGCCACTATATATAACTCCGCGCCCGGCGCCGCGCGAGGAGCGAAGCTGCCAGGGGCAGGAAGCCCAAAGCACAACTGGCACGCAGCCGAGGGGAACCCCATCAGCGTGATCAGAGAAACTATGGTGGTCAGTTTGTGTCGGGGGTTCGGTTTTCTGATATGCCTGGCGGCCCATAGGGGCCAGACGGATCGCGAGGAGGCGGAGGAGGAGGAGGATGAGGAGGAGGAGGAGAAGGAGGAGGGGCCATCTGTGGTTGTGGCTCCTCGCGTTTCTCCGGCAGTCACACTGTGACTGCCGGAGAAGCAACTAGCAGGAGGGCTCGGACCCCCCCCCGGGACCGCTCCAGGCACCCCCCCAGAGGAGAAGAAAGCGGACCGGAATAATCGAGGAGGGAGGAGGCCACAGAGCCACGAAGACCACCGAATCCGGAGCCCCCCGGATCGGTGGCACTGGCCGGAGGCCATTACAATACAAATGGCACGAATCCGAGGGGAACCCATCGTGTGACTGCCGGAGTAGTAGCAGGAGGGCTCATACACAAAAGCGACAGAGCAGCTCGCTGATGGGCTACCAGCGGCAGTGTGCCATCGATGCTCATACAAGCGACGATCAGAAAGAAGTCTCTCGAGATGCCATAGCAACCTTGCGCCGGCACGCTCCGTTGGAAACGAGGGCGCTGACACGCGACCTTACGCGGGCACCTTACGCGCCAGTGTCGGAGAAGACGGACCAGGTTCCTTCTGTCGCTCCTTGCCCAGACCCCCGACGTCAGGAGTTTTTTGTCATGATGTCGACCCGCCAAGGTCTCCACCGATTCCCTGGGACCGACTCTTCGTCCCGAGCCGTTCTCTGTCGGTCCCGAAGGCCGGTGAGGGCCTCCAGAGGTCGAGAATACGGAACATCCGGCCGCCATTCTTGATTCCTTTGGGAAGCGTGCATCTATACATCGAGCTGTTCGGGGCGTTTTTTTGTTGAGTGCGTGGGCCAAAGCGGCGATAGCGCAGTTGCCGACAGAGGGCGCGCATGCCATGCGCCCACGGAGGAGGTCTCGAGGTCGTTCGCCCGCTCTCGCGCGTGTTCGTGGGACGGGGAGGACAGGACGCGTGGTGCGAAGACACGGGCGCCCTTCGTGCACCTCGCTGGCTTACTCTTTGGGGCCGCTAACTTCCTGCAGTCCTCGACTCCCCCCCCCGCGCGTATGTTCCCCCCGTGGCAGTCCGCCCAGTTCTCTTGGGGCCTCCTCGGGTGCGTGCCACGGAAGGTGACAGAGGACACAGGAAAACGATCGATTGCATTCGCATGTTACATAGGATCTACATATAAATATTGTGTGTATAACCAGGAGAAGAAATTCAGAACCTCCTCCCTATCCGGCGAAAGTATAGCGCACCCGGCACACCAGAAACGTTACCCTGGCACCTCGCACCTTTATGTGAACGCAGACGAGTCTGCTCGCCGAAACAAGCACACCGCCTGAGACATTCTCTCAATAGTTTGGCTCTTATTCGCCATGGCGGATCAAGCCGAGGGCCAAGGCCTCAGTCAAGAGGCCTTGGCCCAGCTAAACAGAACAAATCCTCGTCGTTGTCCTCCTCCTCCTCCTCCTCCTCCTGAAGATTCCCGTACGGCACGGCACCAACACGAACAACGACAATAATGCCAGCAATAAGACTAATATCTAAAACAACAAGGCCAATAACAACACCAACAACCATATCAACATCAAAAACACCAACAACGCCGCCAACCCCAACAATGACAACATCAAGTCCCGCGCAAGGGAGAGCCCAACTGTGAAAAGGAACCGTCCGTGCTTACGATGGGGGGCGAATAATTTTGGCGGTGCGGGTGCTGAGATAACGCGCCGTGCGTGGCGAGGGCGATGTCCTCGGATGCACTACCCCACACGGCGGCCGCGAAAAAACAATGTTCCAACAGGGGTGGCAATACAAATCGTGTAGGACAAGGACGATGAAAATAATGAGACCAAGCTCTCGTTCTCATTCTTAATATTATTATTCATATTCTTATTATTATGTGAATGATGATTCTTATTCTTATTCTTATAATCATTCATATTGTTAGTATGCTTTTTTCCCCACATCCAAAGTGGGGTTCTTGTTTTCTCTGGACACCCCGCGCAGGAACAGGACAGGAACACAAACACACCCACTCACACTCACTCACACTCTCTCATCACCAACCTCATCAGCATCATCGATGATGCTCTCTCACATGCTTAGTCACTCACATACTCATCATCATCATCACTCGCACTCTCTCACACGCTCACGAACATCATCATCATCATCGGCATCATCCTCATTCACACATCATCATCGCCACCACCACTCACAATCAATCATCATCCTCTTCACCACTCATCTTCACCACCACTCATCATCCTCATCCTCATCATCGTTGAGTAAATTGTGAGGAAGTCTCAGGCGGGAGCCCCCTCCCTATGGGGCCCGCAGATCATGTTGGTAATCCGAGCGGGTCATCGGAAACCTGTAACTGTCGTCACTTTTGGGCTCGTCAAGCCTGAAATGGAGGAAGTCTCAGGCGGGAGCCTCGTCTGTGAGTGAATTGGGAGGAAGTCTCAGGCGGGAGCCCCCTCCCTATGGGGCCCGCAGATCATGTTGGTAATCCGAGCGGGTCATCGGAAACCTGTAACTGTCGTCACTTTTGGGCTCCTCAAGCCTGAATTTGGAGGAAGTCTCAGGCGGGAGCCTCGTCTGTGAGTGAATTCTGAGGAAGGCTCAGGCGGGAGCCCCCTCCCTATGGGGCCCGCAGATCATGTTGGTAATCCGAGCGGGTCATCGGAACCTGTAACTGTCGTCACTTTTGGGCTCGTCAAGCCTGAATTTGGAGGAAGTCTCAGGCGGGAGCCTCGTCTGTGAGTGAATTGTGAGGAAGGCTCAGGCGGGAGCCCCCTCCCTATGGGGCCCGCAGATCATGTTGGTAATCCGAGCGGGTCATCGGAACCTGTAACTGTCGTCACTTTTGGGCTCCTCAAGCCTGAATTTGGAGGAAGTCTCAGGCGGGAGCCTCGTCTGTGAGTGAATTGGAGGAAGTCTCAGGCGGGAGCCCCCTCCCTATGGGGCCCGCAGATCATGTTGGTAATCCGAGCGGGTCATCGGAAACCTGTAACTGTCGTCACTTTTGGGCTCCTCAAGCCTGAATTTGGAGGAAGTCTCAGGCGGGAGCCTCGTCTGTGAGTGAATTCTGAGGAAGGCTCAGGCGGGAGCCCCCTCCCTATGGGGCCCGCAGATCATGTTGGTAATCCGAGCGGGTCATCGGAACCTGTAACTGTCGTCACTTTTGGGCTCGTCAAGCCTGAATTTGGAGGAAGTCTCAGGCGGGAGCCTCGTCTCTGAGTGAATTGTGAGGAAGGCTCAGGCGGGAGCCCCCTCCCTATGGGGCCCGCAGATCATGTTGGTAATCCGAGCGGGTCATCGGAATCCTGTAACTGTCGTCAATTTTGGGCTCCTCAAGCCGGAATATGGAGGAAGTCTCAGGCGGGAGCCTCGTCTGGGCGTGCCCCTTGTTTTCCTGCAGGCCGTTGACGAGTGCGGCACGATTCAAGGCGAGCCCGACGCGGGTCGGCGTTCCTGAACGTCCCGAACATGCACAAGACGGGGGACATCCACGGCGTTTTGCCGGCCCACGTCGGCATGGAGGTGCGGTTCACGGCAGCGCAGGAGGAGCTGAAGAAGAAGTTGGGGCTCGTGCAGGAGCAGCGGGCCACCATCGTGTCCTTCGAGTTCCACCACGAGGACGAGCAGCGCTACGAGGAGTGCTCGGCAGGCCAGCTCTTTCGCCCCCGCTTCCTACCGCAGGGAATCTGGCTGCAGGTGCACGGCTTCAAGGAGTCTCCGATCTACCAGGAGGTCGCCGAGGTGCTGCGACAGGGCGCCGAAGGCGCCGACGACGACGGCCAGGCCGAGGCGCGAGCGCGGAGCTTGCTGATGTTCAGGCCCAGCGAAAGGGAGTTCACATGGCAGAGCTCGGGGGCGCACAGCGTGCGCCGCTCGGGGTTCACCCTGACGCACGCGTCCTACCTGACCCCCACGCTGTCGCAGGGCCAGGCGCTGCGCAAGGGCGCAAGGGCGTCACCATCGACTGCGCGAGAGACGAGGACGCTGGCCGCACGGGCATGTCGGACGAGCAGTGGTGGCTGCACCTCTACGTCATGTTCTCCCGCGCCACGTGCATGCGGAACATGCTGATCCTGCGGCCGCCGCCGCGAGAGTTCCTGGAGTGCGGGCCGCCGGCGTCCCTGCGGAAGGCGCTCCTGGAGTTCGACAAGAGAGCGGTTTTGTCCAGGGCGGAGGCGAAGCAGCTCGCGGCAGAGCTGGGCTTCGTGCTGCCTTCCGCCTGAGCGCGGCTGCGCCTCGCTCGAAGCCCGCGGGGTTGTCCCAACGGCTTGGTCTTGCGCGCCAGCGGCTCGCGGGGTTGTCCCGACAGCCTGGCCCGCGGGGTTGTCCCAACGGCTGCGCG